CCTGATGGGCTGCCAAACAGCTGGAAAGCCAGGTCTCCAGGATCTCCTAAGCTTTTTGGCTTCTTATGGTCTCCAAGCTCCCAGGCAGCTGCTTTGCATGGAACTTAGGACCTGAGGCTCCCCAATGAGGGAGATACGGGTTATGTTCTTAGTTCCCCTTTGCTTCCCAGCTTTCAGGTTATGTCTTTTACAGGAACTGGACTCCTATATTTGTAGATATAAAGGATCTCAAGGCAATTTATGGCAGGTCATTTGGGATCTCCAGGGTAACATACCTATAGGAGGTCCAAACTACACGTTAGTTGGTTCACTAAACCAGGCAGCCTGTGTGAAGGGATAGGCTGGTCCTGCATGCACCCTGGCAAGCATGGCAGTCAGCTAAGGATTGACTAAGTCAGGTCTAACTTGCTGGGTTTTCAAAATCTCCAAGGACCCTGGACTCTCTGGAAGGGGAGAAAGAGTCTCTCTTATAGTGCTCTTATAAGAGAGTACTCTCTTACAGTAGTAAGAGATATGAGATAACATATAGAGAAATAGCTATGATTTATGTTAAAAATGATGATGTCTAGATGAAACAAATAAGCAAATGGGAAGAGAGCAGTAAGAGTACTAAGTCTGAACAGCCAAGGTTTCTGTATAGAATTGCAAGAAGCATAGCAAGGAAAACAAAGTGGAAAATGCTGTACATACTCAAGAAGGGAATTTTGACATAATAGGCTTAACCAAAGAATGGTAAGTAAACAAAAATGTATTGGTACTACTTAAGCAAAATTTTAAAAATATAAACCAAATGAACAACAGTGTACATTATGGGGCAGGACTAATCGCTATACACTACAATTTTAAATTAGTAAAACATATAAACAAAGCGTCTTAATTCATTTAAAACAACAAATAATTTTATTTAAGTATCAGAAGAATTTCCAATTTCAACTAGCTTTTTTACTTTCAGTAAAGAAATATTCTCTGCGGTTTTCTACATACTATTATGTTAAAAATTTCCATAACAAGCAAAATCTATGTAAGAATGCTAAACGGCATGGGTCATCGCAGCATATTTTCCACCCACAGGTTAACTCCAGACTTCTGGCTCCAGTAGCAGTCACTTCCTCAGTATATAATAATTTTGCAAGAGCGAAGGCTACTTGACCTTCACACATACCAATGTCATCACCCTTCCTTCTTAAATCTGGTTTAGTTTTGATTTTTTTTTTTTTTTTTTTTGGTGTCAGCATGGACATTCTCTTTCCCCATATGTAGGACATACACAGACAACCTTAGATGACCAATCATCCTTCATCACACCTATGAAATTCTACTGCAGGCTGAAACGGATCCTATAACTTGGGGGGGTGGGACACACTTGGGAGGAAGGAGGGGAAGAGGGGGGAATACCACGCTTTATCAGAAAAGTGTGAGATGTCATTTTACAAGTACATTCTAAGAAAATAGAATAATTTTCCCTCTCTTTTCCCTCAAATCCCCAGTCTCAGACTGTTTACTTAAATGATTTTGACAGACTTTGTATGTAGCTGGCTTCCTGAAGTTCTTCAAGAAAGCCTGTATATTGGTAGCTGTAACAAAGGCTAAAACCGAAACTTTGGAAGTTGAAAGCCGATACGCAAGTACAAACCAAGGACAGAGGAAAGGACGAGGCCTGGCATTACCATTCGTTTTCTGATGTTTGCACTCAAAACTCTACTAAATATGAGGATGGAAAAAAACCTCTACATTCTTTTTTCCCCCCCAAGACATACTATTTAAATGTTAGTCTGTGAGGCAATAGGTATTTTCATACAAACTCAAGCTGGCAGTGTTCCTCTTGTTGGCAGAATGCCTTTGGATGAATTTTATAATAGTCCAAATAACATCTTTGTAGAGTTTCTCTGAATTTTTCTGTTTGGGCTGATGTACACTGGGAGAACACTATAAATACTGTTTTTCGAAGAAGCATCATAACCAAATACTACCGTTCCAACATCAACAGAGTTGAGTAGACTTTTCTTAGCCATTTTTCATAATCATTTGTGTTTCTTGGACAGTGCACTTACATTTTGTCATTACCAATGTGCCTGCAGTAGTAACTTTTCTTTTTGGAAGTAAGGAACTAATTAATAAGAATCTGCTTCTATTAAGATAATTCCTTTGAATAAACTACATTATTTTTTCTTTAAGTATTATATTTCGAAGAAATGTATGAACTAATTTATCCAAAATCATGAGATATTTGTTGAAGATTCATAAGTAGCACTCACAGGTGCTTTGCAAATTTTCTCAGGAGGGTTCTACCACCCTAATTATATCATTGCCAGCATACTTGTAATATCATCACTCTACAAGAAATTCTTAAGGCTAAAAATATTTAGAACTAATGCTGGCATACTGAAGTGATGACTGATACCAAATCATTATTGTGGCTGGCAGAGCTGTAATAGTTTATGTACTATAATGTACAATTTATATCCTCTATTTAAAAAGTTGTAGATCTGTCATGGACCAAATATCACTGGCCTCTATCACAGTGCTGTAACAAACAACATCGCTTAGCTATATCATACTGATACAATTCTATTATATGGGAAGTACTCTGAACCAGCTACCATAAAGTAACTGTTAACATATATAATCTAGGTTACAAGAACTTGGATTCTGCTCCCTTTGCAATTAACTTCCTGTCTAACATCAGGCAAACTAGTTACACCCAAAAGGTCAAAACTGGTTAGCACCTAGGCATCTTGAGAACTCAATCTTAGTCTTCTGTAACTCTTATCCCCCTAATGGTAAAACAGAAATGGTAGACTTTTCAATCTTAAACAGATTATGGTGAAAGGAAGTGCATGAGAGATAGTCATGTACGCATATACTATGACAATAACAGCCCTATCAGCACGATAGATTAGCTTCTAAGATTTCATAACTATAATATAAAATAACTTTTAAGTTGTATTTACATAAAACGTCTGTGTAAAAATTGGATGCTGCACTACATGGATATAAAAATTTGTTTCCGATACTATTAACAGTCCTATTTCATCTACGAATCTCACACTACAGAATAGAACCATCAGAGCTTCCACAAAAGAACATAAAAAGAAAACAAATCCAGATTCCAAGCTCACAGCTATTCGAAATATAGTCTGCAGTCCCAAGCACAGGCTTAGAAAAGCCAGAATGTCCATAATCCTTTTGAAGTCATATATTTATTATTGCTTTTGAATCAAGCACTGCATAAACCAAACTGTGCTTCTTCGAAGATTGTGTAAATTGTTGAATATTATTAAATTTGAAAAAAAAAACCCAAAATCTTGTTTACATAGAAGTATCTACTGCACTTCCATAGTGTGGCTATAATCACTGCTTTAGACATACTTCTTTCCATTCAGTGTCAGAGGAAAGGGTATTATTGGTAGGTTTGTTTCAGTGTGTCACTCTGCCTCAGTCTCACACAAAGAACTCTTTGTGGGGTCACAAATTAGCATGTGGGCAGGCAGCCAAGGGAGATGAAAGGAGGATGGTTACACTAAGGATGTACATAGCTTACACTCATCAAATACCCAGGGCAGGGGGGAAACCAAAACCCAACAAAAAAACCCATGTAGGCTATAATTTCAGTACTGTCCTCTATCCCCTTAGTTTGTGAAAAAAGTGTTTCTAGTGAAAGCTCTAGCAATGTGGAGTTCTACTCTGGCACTAGAGGTTTCAGAGTCTTACACATAATAAATATTACCTCAGTTCTGAGATAAAGTAGTATTTTAACATTCAGTTATAGCAAAATTATTCAAGAGAGAGGCAGGTATAGTCATTCCTTGACAGATGAAACATGTATACACCCCACCACTAGGTAAAAATACCCCTTTATTATACCAGGGTGTATATGTTAAAAAAAAAGATGGAAAGATAATTCAGAACAACCAGCATGCTTGAAAAATGTCAAGCAAGCTGCCATTGTAGAAATCATTGTGAAGAAATATAAAACGCTTAAGTTATAAAAATCAAGACCAAATGTTTTCACAATACTTTCATCCATTTATCTACATCCATCCATCTATATAAACTAATAGCAACCATACAGTCCTCAGTTTCAAACAGGAAACTGCCTGCAAAGGATGCTAAGGATATCTAGCACTTTGAAAGAATTTGCATTTTTTAAATAGTCAGGATCTCAAATGATGTGTAGAAGGATATGTGTTGGCGGTACAGGAGAGAGAAGATGCAAAAGCTGAATTAAATATGGAGGTAAATTGGAAATGGAAGATATTACTGTACAAGGATTACGGATAAAAGTCTACCTAGTATGCCAGGAAACTTCTAAAAGGAAACAAAACCTTCTTCATTTATTTTACCATGGGTCAGTGGTAAGAATTCACTGAAGATGACTTACAGCTTCTACTCACCACTTTATCTCTGTTTGGAAACCTACATGAAATTAATGACTAGCTCAGTCTTCTGTGCACAACTGACCTGCACAACAACCACTATTCACAACTGGCACTTTTTGTTGGCAGTCTGAGCAGAAAATCTAAGGATTACATTGGCACCGAGTCTGAAATACGCTCTGAAACCAAATGATGGTCACTTGAGAACACAACTGAAGTACCTCATAGTGGAGAACAATTACAACTACCTGTGCTGTTCATAGCCTGGGACTAGAAGCTTTCCATTTTCAGCATTGTCATATTTTTAGTATGCTTTATTTGGGAAAAGTAAGTTATGTTCTGATAAGTTATTAAAATATATTTTCCATATACAGTAAGCAATGCAAAGGCAAAACAGAATGCTATAATGATTCCTAGATGGAGGACTATTCACTTTTGAAAGGTGAATACACTGATGTTTTTAAGCAGTTAACAGAATAAAATAAAGAGAGTGTAAGTAGCAAATAGCAAAGTATTGCCGGAAATCATCCAGATATAAAAGTTATATGTGAGTATATATATATGTATATATATACATATATATATATGTATGTAACAAAACTATTACTTTAAAGACTTCCTTACCTTAGCATTTTCAATGCAAGGACAAATAGCCCAAGCTGCACTTGCTTGAACATCTGGATTAGGATTTTTCAACAATGACCATAACAAACGAACTCCATCTAGACGGTCAATTATCCTATTGCAGAAACAGACCAAAAAAAGAGATAATTAATTATGGAGCAGACAGTGTTAGATTTTAAATTACATCAGTTTGCTTGGAACATATATTGGTATGATTTTCTTTAACATACTGTTTTGCTTTATGCAAGTGCTTGTGTTTTAATGTCAGCTGATCGCCATCAGCACAGTCAGTAAACATTGCTTACTGTAGCAGATGGGTGTGAACAAGTGATGTAAAGAGAGATTATGTTTTCTAACTAAATCTCATTAATGCTGTTTACTTTTTTCTCAGCACTGTCATTCAAAATGCTTCTAGAAGATCAACTAAACTACACTACATTATAAACAGAATTCATAAATGTAAAAACAGGCATGTGACTTTTTAATGATCTGCATGCAAAGTGAAATCTGAATTCAAGCATACTGGCTTCTTTCATATGGTAACAAATACTTTCCAAAACAAATATTTATGCCCAAAAACTACGTACTTAACTTTTTATTCAGTCTATGCTTAATGTATTTACCTTACTCTATGCCATATTTTAAAATACTGTGTTTCTAATCTAGCATTAGAAATTAAAATGGTCACACCACAGTGCATCCTTTGTTGGGCCTGAATAACGTGTAACTTGTTTCCCATATGTTCCTGACCAACAAGACTAACACTGAACACTATGTTATAATTACTTAAACACACTGTAATCAAAGTATCTTCGTGACTAGCTGAAAAATGAATTATCATCAGAATCATCTCTACACCATCTGTGTTATGTTTACATATCAATCAGGCTTGGGGATCATAACTTCACACTAGGGTTTAGTGAATACCTTAAACGGAAAGGAAGGTCAAACACAACTGAATAGCCTTTACAAAAATGCCTTTTCTCAGAAAGATATGTTAAACCTAAAGCAGATGAGCTGAAGATTAAAAAAAAAAGAATATATATATTTTCATTTTCTAACCTCAGAAGTAAAATTCAATTGTACAAAATTAGTCTACATCTTTAATTGTAAATATAAGATAAATGTAAATACAGATTGTATTTAAAAACATCACATAAAACATCCCATTTGTGTTCACCATATATAGGTTTGCCAGGAAACTTTTTAACTAATTATAAAATCAGCTTTCTTTGTAATTCTATCATCATTTGAAGCAGAATTAAGGACATGAACTCTATCTAAAATACCAAGGATTTATTCATAATGCTTCTATGCAAACTGGTTAAACAACTATGTGTTTTAAAACCGATACTTTTTCGCACAAAGCTATGGTTGAGATACTATAAGTTATTGAAGATCTGCTAATTTTAATACAGCTTATTATACATGCTCAGCTCCAAATCAATTGCAAGAAAATCATCATTCAAAGGAGAAATTCAGAAATCTTAACACATCAAAATAAAACAGCTTGATCACAAACTACACAAGTACATATATATGTTCAACACAGTAAGGATGACTTAAGTAAAAGCTTCAAAATAAGCTTTTAAATACCTCCAAATTCCCAACACTTTTAAGCAATTTTAATATTGCTTTTCTGTCATTTCAGAAAGCACAAGAATTTTTTTTCCTATATTGGAATTAGTTAAAAAAAGAACCCATGAATCTTTCTTCTAGTCAAGCAGAGTACTGACCATTTACCAACATGAGGTACTTCCTCCCAAGAGGGGCTAAATATAAATGACCCAGCTCCAACCAGTATATAAAAATCAAGAGATAGAAGCCAAACACTGAGCTCAGCTTTTTCCACCACACTTAAAATAACAACCTCTAGGCTGATTTATCTTTCCTTTCTACTTTTTTGAAGGCTTCCTTTTCAATTTATTTTACTTTCATTTTCTTTTCAGTTTTCTTGTCTTCCTTTCAGCTTCTCAAGGTAAACTAGCCTCACTCTATGGTTAATTTTCTAAAGAATTTTTCCTTTTACTTGAAGGCTAAAAAGACCAGTTGTCTTACACCCAACAGAGCAGCTCAGAATATCTGAAAGTGTACCCTCTGTCCATTCAACATGTATAAAATCAAACTGAAAAATAGTACAGACAACACAAACAAATCTGCAAAGTGCATTCATTGTTCATCACTGATTGCTGCTTTCTCTCAGTTACACCAGATTAACTCAAATGAAAAGAACTCTACATATAAGAACGATGCTCTTAAATTTTCATATTGGAAGAATTATCAGAGTGTAATCACCATACACGCGCAAACCCCGTTATTTTCATCTTGCTGAGAACATGTATTTGCCAACTACAGAAAGCACTGCTAAACAAGTGACTAATCCTTTCTGAGTTTAATTTTTTTGTCTTTCTGCTTTCACTGCACAGTGTAGCAGATGAAGAAACTGGGTGTTAAATGAGCACATCTGCTACAAAGGCAAAGGGAACACTAAGATAAATGGCCGTGAAAAATGTGAAAATTCAATTTTAAAGTGGGCAAAAATACACATTTACGTTTCTTTAGAAATAAAGAGAATGATGGGAAAATAAACCTGTAATCTTGAAAATTTTGGCTCTGATGGCATTACACTAAACAATATTCTGATTTGCTTTTGTATATAGCTTCTGTGTCTAATTTTCTTTCCAAAATTTATGATAACATTATTAGCAGGATGCTTTTACAAAGCTACTTACCACAATAAATACAGCAAGCATACCTTAAAGTTTACTTTGGTTGGCATTCAATTCTGTATTCATACATAGTTAGTACATTAGTCACTCTGTGGTTACAGTCACTTAAACAACATATTTTAAAATAATTTGTTGACATTATGATGATAAAATTAAAGTACAGTTAAACCTGTATTAAACAACCACTCACAGGACTGCTAAAGGACAGTTCTTTTAATAAAGATGCAGAACATTTCCTTCGGAAGCTGAAGGGAATCTCACAAAAGCTGGAATATTACAATACTTACGTGGTACCAAAAATCTTGATATTTTAAAGTTAAATATTTAACTACTTTATAGAATAGCTGAACTACATGTATGTAAGTATCTCATGTATAGAACACTATTAATATTCAAAATCTTAAGAGGCATGAAAGTCATCCAAAGTAGAAATGTAAACTTTATTATAGGTAATTGCCATTTGGTGTTTCACTAGAAGTACATAACAATATATAAATAAGCAGAGTCCAGAAGCAAGAACCCGTATTCTGAACTATTGCTGCCCTATACTTTAACATAGCAGAGGCATCTCACATCAGACCTGGATCAAGGTGGCCTGTGGCCACGTCTTCTCATTCAAAGCTCTGTGCCTTGTCAGACTGTTCTTATTTGATCACTGATGAATTTAGAATAAAGTGTGAATTATTCTGCTTCTCAAAAGAGCAAGAAGGAGTTTTACTGGCAGTTAGAAATAGCTGGGGTGAAGAGGTGTTCCTATCATGCACTCCTGTGCTAACCAGGCACGATTAGAGCAGAGATGAAGGGTTATACAGCTGACATCACTCCTACAAATAGGGAACTGCAACGCGTATGAGCGTGCTGGTTTCTACACAGAAGAGATGATATATGGTGTATATAGAATACGCCTTATGGGCAAATAATTATAATGTAATTAAACCCATTTGGCGATTACTGAGATGTCTAGGACAGTGTCTGGGAAATCCCAGGTTACGGCGAATTGGCATTTGTTATTTGACCAGTGCAGCTCATTTAACAAGATAATTTCTTAAAATTACTTCTGTTGGTTGCTTACAGTCAACAGTTGTTTAATAAAGACTTTTTGCGTTATTTAAGAACCTTGATATCATGACATCATTGAACACATTGAGATGTCTGTGCAAGACATGGGTTCCAATTCTAGAAATGAACTTCTTTAATATATCTCCGAACCTAGCAAAGTTTTTAATCTGAAATAGTAATTCTCTCTCAAATTCAAACTTAATATTGAACACTTCCAGTAGAAACTTCAACATGTATTGCATAAACACACATGCTTACACACAGCCTAGACATCTGTTTGTCATATCTATCGTCTTTTTCTGTTACGGTGTAATTTGCCAGAACTTTTGAGAAGTCTAGTTTAATTGCCTGCCATTTTAGACCACAAATACAAATGTAAATAAACAAAGTTATACTGACTCTCTATTGTGCTCACTAGTAAGATTACAGGGTTTAATTCTGGCAGAAATGTAATCTTGTCTTTTTTGAAACCACAATTTAGCATGTTTCTTAAAATTTTCACTAGTTGCTGTGGACTGCTTTGATAAATACTATTATATACAACAATGACTCAAGTTCCATCTGTTTGGCTAAAATAATTGTACATTTTCATTTATAAGATTCTAAAACCTCAGCGATGAATGCTAGAGATGAAGTCTGTAGGTTTTCAAATGAAAAGGGCAAATGAAAATCTTGTGGCAGTTAATGAATACACACTAGTCCCCTCTTTGTAGTAAGAGAAACAGAGTAACTTCTAAAAAGTTCCTCAAAAAGACAAATGCACACGAAAGAAGTGCTGCGGCATCTCTGTCAGTGGCCGTGCAGCAGACTGATTTTCCCCCTCTACTCTTGCTCTTGTGAGACTCCACCTGGAGTACTGCATCCAGCCGTGGGGCTCTCAACATAAGAAGGATACAGATTGGTTGGAGCGAGTCCAGAGGAGGCCACGGAGATGCTCAGAGGGCTGGAGCACCTCTGCTATGAAGAAAGGCTGAGAGAACTGGGCTTGTTCAGCCTGGAGAAGAGAAGGCTCCGGGGAGACCTCATAGCACCTTTCAGTACCTGAAGGGGCCTACAAGGAATCTGAAGGGGGACTTTTTACAAGGGCCTGTAGTGACAGGACAAGGGGTAACGGGTTTAAATTGAAAGTGGGGATTTCTAATGAAAGATTAGATATCAGGAAGAAGTTCTTCACGGGGAGGGTGGTGAGGCACTGGCACAGGTTGCCCAGAGAAGCTGTGGATGCCCCATCCCTGGAAGTGTTCAAGGCCAGGCTGGATGAGGCTTTGAGCAACCTGGTCTGGTGGAAGGTGTCCCTGCCCATGGCAGGGGGGGTGGAACTAGATGATCTTTAAGGTCCCTTCCAAACCAAACCGTTCTATGATGATGATCCATATTGTCCACATAATAGTAGCAAGTTCAGTCACATAGTTATGCTTTTTTTAAGAAAAATCAACTTAATTTTTGGCTGTGACAGAAGCTGGCTGCTCTTACTTACTTTACATAGCTCAACAGAGTCAATAAGAATCACTTAATTGCCTGAAGTTGCCTTAAAGTAAAGGTTCTGTGCAGAAAAGTAATACTATTGTAGCTTCCACTCAGCAACTGTGGAAGTGTCAAGTATGAAACTTGACAGAGATAAAAAAATAAAAGACACACAGAAGCTGTAAATTCACCTATGCTGATCTACTAGTCTTCTCTCTTTGTCAGTGCAGGCTTCCTCCATGGAACATACTATAAATGTACAGTATTTTCCTCAGAAGTTAACTGCACTTTTATAGAACAATCAGGTTTTTATTTCTTACATGAATCCCATCCTCTTCATTACATACCCTTGAATCATTCACAGAAACTACATGAGCTTCACACATGGTCTGTATGGTTTCCACATACCTACTGCTGCAAGTATAACTACCTTCAAAATAGAAGACTGTTCAACTGAACATTTAATCTCTAATCCACTCTTTGCTAAACACACATGCAGTTAATGAAAGGTAAGAACATATGTGAAACAATCCTTAAGATGGCTTGATACTCCCTTCAAATCTTCCTGCTTTGTTCTGTGTTTCATAAATGTCAATGATAGCAGAATCCAGAAAAAGCATGATAGTTTTCAGAATTTCTGTAGTACTCAACCAAAACAGTAACTCTTTAAGCAGTGCTAGTCTGTACCAGGTGACAAAGAAAGCAAGCCTTAAACCTGCCAGCCAAATTTGCCAGGAATAAAGCAAATAGGAGAGAACCTGTCAAGCCATTGTGAGGAATAAGTGATTATGAAATAAGGAATGTAATAGGGATGAGTCAGATGAACCAGGAAGACCAGAAAGAGCTAAGTATCAAACTGCAACAGGAAATTCTCATCACCTTTATATTCTTACAGGCTACAAGTGGCTTTGCTTTGCTTCTTTCTAGAAGACTGTCTTGGCACATGTATTGGGTTTGTGTGGCAAGGTTTTGGTACAGAGGTGGCTTCTGTGAGGAGCTGATAGAAGCCTCCCCTATGTCTGACAGAGCCGATGACAGCCATCTCCAAGACAGACTCGCTGGTGGCCAAGGCCAAGTCCATCAGTGATGGTGGCAGCACCTCTGAGATTAAGAGGTGCTAGTTACGATGTGTCCTTTTGGGTAAGAACTTCAGAAAATGTTTACTGAAAGAGAATGAACTCCACAGTACTTTCTACCTATACTAATTATTTTAGTCCCAAATTCTGTAAATGGAACAAAGTGATGCTACATACTTCATGTCTTTGGTGACTTACTCTTCCTAAAAAGGAGGAGTGCAGTTTAGATCAGGAGCTACAATTTCAATTCCTGCTCTACCGTTCTGAGAGAAGGGAAAGGAAGGGATGTCCTTTTTTTTGAGGGGGGACAGGAATCTGGTATCTTAACCTTGTGATAGGCACTCAACCAAGCAAATCATTTACACGTGTGGGTAGTTGTACTGGTGTCAATGTTTTAACTCAGCAATGTTTTTAAATATTTTGCTGGATTGGTATCAAACTTATCCACCCCTGGATGAATCATACCTAGGGAAAAGATAGCAGCATTATCTCTTCTAGTACTACAATTCTAAATAGCACCATACATCAGGTACATTTCACAGTCTTGCTAATAATAATAATTTCTGTGTAACAGGTTTTTTGCGGTAGTAAAAAGTATATTTTCCTCTTGATCTAAGACGTTGCTTACTTGTTAATATTTTAAAATATTTTAAAGAACATTCTGAAAGCTAAGAATCTTCAACAGAGATTTTTTTCAAATTCAACACTTGATCCCCTTGTCCACTCTTTGCAAACTCCATTTCATTTATGTATACTTTTATGCTACATGGCTAGCTGTTCATACAACCCATGTTTACAGTTGTGTACCATCTAGCCTTTTGCCACTGGGTGACAGCCAAAGCATGAAAACAAAAGCCCTATTCAGTAAAAGAATTCCCTGCACTGCTATATGAATATCAAGTGAATTATGCAAATCAGAACAGGAGGAGCTTAATAAAACTCTCTTTCTGACCTTTCTTAGGTATAAGGAGGGAAATATGCTGAGAATCTTGAGGTAAATATCCCTGTAAGGGAACTGTAAGCACAGTAAATGCCGACCTCAACATCTAACTAGAATACTTAATCATAAAATTCAAGGATCTTTGTAAGCTGTACAAATCTACATCACAAAACCAAAGAAAACAGCAACTCTCTCAGTAAAAAGACAGTCTCTTTCTTTGGTTTTGCAAAGGAATAGGAGGGGAGAAAAGGGTCAAAAAAAAGGCTGAGTTCATAAAAGGAATGGTGGAGATGAACAAAACAGACAAAATAAAAATAATACTCTAAAAGTTTCCAAATAATTTTTCATGACAGTAAATGTGAACATTTTCTTTTGGAATTACTTTCTCTAATTTAGGCTATTACTTATGATTTCAGAACAGATGTAAAAGGAGAAGGCAAAACAGGTACCTATCATACAGCACTTCAAAATGGTGCTGTGTAACTTCGAATTTTAACTTTAATAAAAATCAGTTTACTAAAGGTTTATCTGGTTTTCCCCAAAATGTAAAAGCTTTACTTTATACATACTTCCCTAATGACTTTTTTTAATATGTATCACATTTTATGGTAGGATGTAACTAACCCACACAACCCTGTAGAAAACAGAAAGAAAAATATCCTTCTAAGTCAGATGAAATTTGACTATATTTGTGCCAGCATTACTAAACATTTTTTTTCAAGTATTTAAAATACTATGAATATGAACAGCTTACATCATATTTTCAGGTTCTGTTGCACAAGCTCCCACGGCTTTGGTGACATTCACAAGTAGGGCCTGATCAGTTCCAGTAAGTAAGTTGACCAGAGGTGGTATTCCACCACATTTACGGATAATACTTCGATTTATTGGCTCTTGGCAACATTCTCCCAGTGCTCCAACAATATTTACAAGAACTTCTTCAGGCTGGTCAGTGAGCAGTCCTACCAAAGTTTCTATGACTTTATATTCCTGAAATCTAAAATGCAGAAATTAAAAAATAGTTTTTATTTTCAGTATGTTACTGTTATAAGTTGATTTTTATAAATAAAGTATAATTATGACTGAAGTATAATGTTTAATTTCTGTATGTAAAGTATCTTGTTGAAGAAATCACAATACCAGTAAACCACTTCAATCAGTTCTTCAAAGTGTGACATACAGCATAATATCTTTCTCAACCTTTTAAATACATTTCTCTAATTTAGCTATCTAGGAGTCTGCAGAGCAGTTTGAGTTTTTAAAAGCTTGACATGTGCATGCATAAATGCTTGACATGTGCATGCATAAATAGCTGAAAACATACTGTAAGAATGGCAAGTACTGAGGCATCCTAACTTCCAATACTTTTTCCTCCCATGTTAACATAGCTAGAGTAGTAGTACATCAGATGCTCTTCCACCTCTCTGGACTAAAGGAACATTACATTATTTTTCAATAAACGCTATGTTTTAGCGGGTTTGACCTGACCACTTCTATACTTAGTTCAGTCCTAATAAGTGCATTTTCCTAAGGTCAGACCTATAGTTCTAGTACATTTATTCTGTTCTATGCTCGATTCCATTTTGAATTCAAATAATAAATTGACAGAAATTTGAGTTGACTGCTATATGAATACTCCCCTTATTCTTCATAGCACTTTTGATACTGAAAATCAAACTTTTATCTTTAAAAATCCTGGAGGTCCCATCCTACAAACAGATGCATGCTAAACCTCAGAAGTTCATCTTTCAGAACAGCACTTTACTCCTCAGTACTGGGGTTGTCTTCTAAGTTGATTTTGTTGAGAACTTAAAAGATTCTTAACACTTAACAAATACTGTATCTTCCTTTCATACTTCTTTCTGTGATACACCTTGACACTTCCACTTGGTGTATCAAGCTAGTTTTAACCTGTATATTATCTAATAATTATGCTTTGATTTATAACTTTGCATAAACACACATAGTTCCTTCCCTAAAGAGATAATTCCTCGGAGAGTACAGAATTCTCACTTGTGCTTCCCCCACAGCACCTAGCTTCTGGAAATGTCTATTTGAGCTACAAATAAGCTGTCTTTTCCAGGAATCAGTTGTACATGTGGCTTTTCTTTCATACAGAAAAATGAGTATTTTTGAGAATTTGTTGTCAGAATTAGAACTGTTTTAATAAAAACGAGCTTTCCAAGCTCGTTTATCAGTATAACAAAGTAACTGAGAAATGAGAAACTTTCATTTTTCATTATTCAAGCCTTTTCTTAAGGAGGAATCTTCTTATCAACTCTTTCACAGATGGAATGATATGAGCTGGCTCTGCGATGGGCAGGCTACAGACAGAGCTGTTGGCTCGGGCCATCTTGTGTCCAGAAGCAGTACGGCTGCTTGCACGCAAACTGGAATCTGAGCTGGTCGGGCCCAGGCACCTGTATCAGCTTATTGCTGAGTCAGCTCGGCAGTGAACTCAACGTATAGGAAATACTGTGTAGTTTAAAGATAATTCAGTGGCCCTGAAGGAATCAGCAGGGTTTGTTAGTGCTAACTTCACGTCACACTCAAGCTCATCCCCTCCAAATCTACTTACATGTTTTCATATTATCCTCCCTCCTTGTTCCATAGTGCCTTCCCATCTCGAGTTTGGAGAGAGTTTTCTGCTTCAGACTCTGCACTACGTAATACATGAATTCAGCTCAGGTCTGAAGTTGCGCCTGGCTAGTAACCTTCGTGGAGTGTCAAGCACTTGCCAGAGAGATGTGAGTAGCCCAGCAAAAATCTGTTTGCATTTGAACAGCATTATGGACTACAGCTATACAATAAATCAAACAGGCCATGGCTCATTCTCCAGCCCTGAGGACAAGAAGCACAACATAGCATCCATACGGCTGAAATCTCTCCTCATCACAATTCAGGGTGGCCTCACCCATTTTGACTAATGGAAGCAATCTGTTGCCTGCACTATTCCCAAGGAGTGTCTGGGCATTGTCTGGGACAGCGCTTCCTGGCACAGGCCAAACTGTGTAAGGGACTGTGCTAGCAGTTTAACAGTATGGATAATCTTTACACAGTGCCCAAACGCTGAAAGGTTTGGCCCTGTTCAGTTTACTAATACAGAGCGAGCCATTCAGGCCATCTCATCACTGATTGATCCAGAACTAGGATGCCAATGTGGAGATACTCAAAGCCCACAGAGAAGAAGGATATACATTTCTGAAAAGCCAAGTTACTGTGCAATCAAGAATGCAAAAAACAGTAGAACAGCAGTAGAGTATGTAAAAGCCATGTCTCTGTATATCAACAGTTTGGAAACTCATTTATACAGTAAAAAGCCAGACTGTAAACCCTTATCACTGGAATTTTGTCTGATTTTTATCCAGCAGTTATCTACCATATCTGCTTGTCCAGCAAAGCACACTGAAATCAGGGCTGCAGGAAGAGGTTACCTCTCACCGATAGTCCTTCCAGCCTATGAATCTTACCTTGCTCTGTACAGAGCAGCAGGAAGCCTAGCACACACTCCAGTGGAGCAGGCTTTTTTGTTGAGGTAAGGTGCATAAATCTGATAAACAAATTTTCGATGAGGGGGTTAAGTATTTCTAATTATTAGGCTGTTCCATGAAACGTGGTGATAACTCCTGCTGTCACATTCTCAGATAATCACTCAGAACCCTGACACTGAGAGGTTGTAGGTACCTACGGTAGGACTCTCATTAGTCAATTCCACTCATTTAGAAGCTGGGTGTCCAGACTAAGCTACTTTTCGCAGCCCCTTCTGTAGTCAAGGGGAGAAGCATCTCGGCTAATTATCGTAAATTCCAGTACATTTCTAAAGCAGGTGGACCTAATGTGTATTAGATACCTACCCTAAAATGAGATAATATGCCTCTGTCTCTTGTTGTAAAACATTTAAGTGTGCTGATTACTCTCTCTACCATGTAGCAATGATTCTGGTTTGTAAGATACAGAGAGGAGCGAGATATCAGATACACCTACATCTCAAACGTTTACTATGTGCTAGTACACCTCCTGACTCACTGTCCTACACCTTAACTATTCTTTAGAGGCAGCAATTGTCCACTTGGACTCAAGATTCTAGGAACTTAACACTGTTTCCACTGTACCCTGATGAGGTCAGGTGGCAATATTTAAGGACTACAAAACCTAAGTTGAAAGCCCAACTGATTGTAAAGTATGGTTTTGAAGACTCATGACATAATAATTTTGGAAACAACAGAGGCCCATAAAATCAAAACCTGATAATGTAAGAAACATTTGTAAAATTAAATTGTTACTTGGACACATTTTCTCCACTGATTGCACATTTCCAGATTGCTCCCGTCACTGCTGCTAGAAGTCGTTTGTTTTCAGAGTTACCAAGCAGAACAGACAGCGGTTTTAGACCTCCATGCTGTCTAACCAAGTCACGTATTTCTTTATCTTCTGCGCACTATACACACAAAAAAAAGTGAAACACGTAAAACGATTTCTTCAAAAGCTAGGTGTATTATGTTGTAACTGGTAAAAACTCATAGAGAAGAAAACATAAATATTTCATTGAAGTATCTGAATATGCTAAGAACTCACCAAGAGAGTTTGACAGTGAACCGCTACTGTATATGCAACAGTGTTTATACTATCACACTGTCCACCTTGTGGGCAAATAAACATAATAAACCAAAGCAGCTCTTTGCACAGTATGTCTTGCCTCTCTCCGTTGGTTACACATGCAATCTAGGGCTTGCACACAAGAAAAGCAAGTAGGAGCTAATTACAGTATTGAGTATGCAGCTAAAATGTTCTAAGAATAAAGCCAAAGACCATCAACATTTTTATAAACAAATTTCTTACAAATTAGAGAAATAGTAAAACTAAGAAATATTAAAACTGACAATCCCATGAAAACAAAGGTCTAATCCTGGCTCTGATTTACTGATTATAATAATAGAATTACCTTAAATATGGCACTTGCACAATGCATCTGAAGCTCCTCATGTTCACTACTCAGATTTTTCACAAGATACTCAATCATTCCTTCTGTCCTTATTGCAAGTCTGTAGCTTGGCTAAAAAGATAAACTGTCTCTTTTAAAACCTTTATATTAACAGTTAATAACACCAGTCACAATAATAATACAGTGCTACAGTTCTAGGCTTGTACTTTATTTTAAGCACAAGTGATCCACATTGACTTGAAAATACTACTGATGTTCTCAAAGTTAATCAAATACGTCTGCAGTGGTCTTCAAATCACCTGTAAACCCACGTGCTGAAATGCCTATTTGTAGCCACCTGGCTTAAACAGAATTCAGAATATTCTGAAAGGTGACCAGACTCCCTGCTCAGAGTCATGGAAGAAAAAGAGGCTTGAGAATGGGATCAAGAAATACCCACTCATTTCATTGTGAGCCAGCAGCCAAAACAACAGATCTATTCCTAGAACAAGGTTAGAAAAATATGTTCTTAGAATTAAATTTTTTTAATGATCTTTTCTTCCACATTTGAACCCACAGGCATTGTAACAGGGGACCATTTTTTAAAAGAGGGGAAACATCTGTGTAAAAGATGCATTTAGTGTATTTCCAAATTTGATCAGATAAGAAACCCTCAAAAACCTCAACTCTTCAATGTAGACTACTGAAGCTAAAATCTACCATGTCACTGTCTTGTGGTGCATTCATAAACCTGTGCAGTTCAAGAAATTAATTCTGAAAATATAAAGTGGTTTATAATGTAAAATCTTTTGGAAAACCACATCGTCCATGTCTCAAATTCACCAAGAGAGCTTATGTATGTTTTTGACCTTGAGTGCAATGCACCTTAATTTCAAACATGATTCCACAAATGGAGAAATAACCATTCTTCTTATACAGTAATGGCAGAAAATACTTGCATTCAAATTTAAAACCTGAATATACTCAAAGTTGCAAAACCTGCCAGAGAAATCTGTAGAAAAATCTTCTTTTTGCAATCGATCAGACACAATTCACAAGGACATTGTAAACCTCACTGCCCTGCACTGCATTGGATCTTCCTGGCCACAACTGCAGGTAAGCTTTGTAGAATTTAAATGTACTGACCAACCAGAATACAGAATCTTAAGTTGCCAAATTAGTCAAGGATGACAACAAATAAGAGGAAAAAGTGAAATTGATTAAGGATTTAATTTATATATTTTCTTTCACAAACTACTCCTAGCCTTTTAAATAAAAACTATGTGTTCTTTATTACAAGCTGTGACCTTCTCGGGAACAGTTTGACCACACAAAGTATCCACTTCCTGATGGGGTAACTGCCCTGGTTTAAGTGACAGCCAAATTAATGCTTCCTTTTAGTTGCTAATTGTTTTAATGATTAGACATAACGTAGTTATATGTGTTTACTTACCTCTGAGGCACATTCTTGTAGTGTCCCCACTACTGGTGTTAAGATGTCTGCATGTGAACATTTGAGCCATCTCGCTAATAATGGAATGCCACCAGCTTTACGGATTGCTTCTTTATTTCTGATGCTTTTGCTGCAGCTCCAGAGTGCCAAAGCCCCACAGCGTGCTATTTCAGTATCTTTTCCTTGATGTGGTGTTAGACTGGTTGATCCCACTGAAACACATTCCAGCAGCCCAACCTAAAGAAACACCACATTTTTAAAATTATCTACAGGGAAGTTTGACATTATACTGCTTTTTAATGATGGGAAACACTACCACAAAAATCACACATACATCATACGAAGTATTTTTTTGACAAAAATATGCATATGACAAGGGTACAAAATTCAATATCTGCTTACCAATCTCCTGATTCCTCCATGCTGCCTTACTGTTCTTCGTGCTTGTTTAAATCGAGCAATGTTAGCAATTGTTTCAGCTGCCAAACATTTCAGAACTTTATCTGGAGAGTCCAGTATTTTCACCATGATCTGTAAGCCCCCAAGATCTGCAATTGCATGTCTGATCAGTGTATGTTGACTAATCTCCTTCAGGATTTTTAATGAACCAATCTAAATAATGAAAGATAACAGAAGTCAAGCATTATTTAAATACACATAAAATGAAAAGAAACTGATTATTTTCCTAAACAATCCCTGAAATCAAGAAAATACAGAAATGAAAAAATAATGAAATCTGTTTTCTTTATACAATATAACTTTGAAAATTGAAAAAATATTCTAATAGAAAAGGCATATTCATTGTTCTATTCAACACAGCTACTTACCTGACATTTAATTTCTTCTGTATCAAGTAAATTAATTAACACTTCAAGACATCCAGTATCTCTGATGGCCAGCTGACATGTTTCTTGAGCCAAATTGAAATCTCTCATTGAACACAAAGCAATCACAGTAGCTGTTGGATTACCTCCCTAAAATAAATAATTAACAAATGTGTAAGGCACATTTAATATAAAACTTAGGGTCTTCTATTGGTACTGGTAAAACAACTACTAAAGAAGAAACATGTCAGATTGTTTTGACTCTATGGTGTTAAGTAATGCAAACATAGTAAGAAATGTAACTAGTGAGAAAGTCTGCAAATGGCATATAGATTTAAGAGAGTGTACAGCACAGGTGATAGATCACTAATATGACTTGCTGTGAATAGACTAGTAAATTAGGCAATCGAGTATTGTGAGTTCTGTATGAGATTTTGCAGATAGCAAAATAACACACGTGAAGGCACAGACATTTCAGAGGAGTGATCTGCATTCTTTGCATTGGTGTTTGCTCTGGAAGAAACCAAAGAGATTCCGACTGGAATCTTCCATTGTGGAGGACATTTTAGAGAATTTTTCTGAAACTGTAGACTCTGTAGAAAGCTTTTACAAAAAACCCTGACATTGTGAACAATAACAAATTGCCACTATTAGATAGTATTCAACTCTCTAACTATTAGAAATGATAACTTGGGATTCGGGTAGATTGCAATCAAAAAACAAATGGAATATTAGGATTGATGTGGAAAAACAGTGGACAATGTCACTATACCACTGTATAAATCCATGGTTCATATTCACCTTAAAAACCTCATGCAGTTCTGCAGCCTTAGTTTCAGTAAGGTTACTGTAGCACTGGAAAAGTCTCAGAAAAGAGCAACAAAGATAATCCAAGGTTTTTTTCAGTCTAGAAGAGGGATGCCTGAATGGATATGACAGAAGTCTACAATGCTAGGGATGGCATTGAGCAGGATAGATAAGGATTAACTGTCCAAGGCCTCTTTTAATACAGGTATAATCTTGAATAATGAGGTATAATTGGATTCCATCTAAAAAGAAATAAACAGAGTTGGTTCTTCAAATGAGGCAACAGACCAGAGGAACTAACTGTGAAAGGATTCTGTGAAAGCTAAAAGATTTAACTGAAGGTCAATAAAACCAAAAATATCTCATTCAGTGTTCAACTTCATGAGCTAAAAACAGGTGGGGGCTTGGAGAGTATTAGAAAGCTGTGTGTCTGCCCTTTTCTTACTTTGCCCTGGGCATTCGTTATCCTGGCCTTCTTCTGCCTTGGTAAAACGTGAACAGAGTTTCCCACTACTCTAAGTTATGCAGTCAAGTTTCCCATATTCATGGAAATCAGAGGTCAGGACCTCCGGAGTGCAAAAGATGAGCTTTAACCACAGAAAACTTCCATCCTGATTATCATGTCTCTCCTGTTGCAGTCAGGTTACTAGGATACATTGTCTTTTGATGTGTGCAATACAGTTTCTTTTACATCTAAATTTAAGGTCATACACTTAAAAAGAATGGAAACAGGATACAGCTCAATGTAGGAGTTCTACCCTGAAAGCCAGAGCATATGTTGGGATGTTGAATATAAAATTGAGATTAGAATGTAACATTTGATTAAAAGGATTAATTTTGGTATGTGTAAGTTAAAGTACTGAATAGGAACATAGGTATTATTTTAGGCACTTGTGCAACTACTATTGAAATTCTGTGCTGAATTTTCTTTTTTACAGTTCTAGAAGGGAGGTGAAAATAGGGAGATGATTCAGAGAAGAAAAATAAAAATGATTGTAAGCCTCAAAAATAATTGCTTTAACACAGACATGAGAAGCACTATTCAGTTTATTAAAAAGGAAATTAAGATATGATTTATTCATAGTGAATAAATAAATCTGTGAGGAAGTGGAATATGATCACAGAGAGCTAGTGATAGTCTAGCACAGAGGTTTGATGATTCAAAGTTAAAGGTACTAAAATTTAGATGAGGAGTAAAGTGCAAATTTTCCATTGTGTGGTTAATTATCCTTTGGAAGAAATTGCTTAGAGAGATGATAAGTTTTCCAGCAGTGGAAATTTTTCAGTCAAGATTGGATGTTTTTCTAAAAGATAAGCTCTATTTCAGCCACAGCTACTAGACTAAAAGCAAGAAAAAGATCAAAGAATACACCCTGTGGTATGCAGAAAGTTAAACCATATGATAACAATGGATTCTTTTGAACCTATAATATAGATTTACTATTAATCCAATAAGGTATGAACCCAACTGCACAGAAATTAGGAGGGCTGAGCTACCATGTAGTTGCAACAGAAGCTGAAGTGCATGAGCAATGCCAACCGGTGCTAATGTGGAAGTTAAACTTAGAGCACCTAGTAAATCAAACTACAGTATCCACCTTCCACATGCCTCTAAATTCCCGTGAAGCTTTGGCTCCCATCCAGATCGGAACTGTGCTGGCAAGCTCATCTCTTTCAAATGACACTTTTGAAACAGTAAAGGACTTTGAGCCAATCCTTTTCAGGGGAAAATACTTTGCTCAACTATGCACACCATACTGAAATACAGATACTGAAAAACTGAGTAATGTTTGCTAATATGAAACAAGTAGCTCTAACAAAAACACAGCATTTTGCAGCATATCTCTTAAATGTAAACAGAAACAGTAAGGTAAATACACAAAAAAAGTCTTTACATTTATCATGCTCTTCAACAGATATCATAATGTATTAGAGAACCACAAGTGAGAAAATACATCCAAAACGAATGTGAGATAAAAACTTGATACAAGTTCCAGATCAGTAACACATCAGACAAAACACTTCTGCTGATCAATGAGATGTATATGGAGGGAGCTTACTAGCTGACTTTTATTTAAATTTCTTGAAACAATAGATATCCACAGGACTTCCAACAGAAAAATGTTTAAATATAAAAAAAATCTTAACATTTAGTGTCCCAAAGGAAGATGTCTACATATTTTTCATGTTACCTTTTTTTAATGATCATAATCATCTTGGCTTCAGAAGAAAATGAAACATCTCCAGCTTTACAAACATATTTTTACCTGTTTTGTAAAACATGTCCTAAGGAACAAAATATTGTAACCGTTTCTCAAACTTTTTCCTAGAGAAATCAGTTTACCCACACATATCAAAGTCTAAATGATTTTTAAAAAAATCCACAAGATGAGACTCTAAAACTACATAGAATATTCTGTAACTCAAAAGGGCCAACCACTGTCCTTTTATGAAGTTTGTGGTCATTTCATACAGCATCGATTTTGAGATTTACTTTGTTTTGTATCATAAAACTTTTGCAACTGGTGTTTGAAGAGAAAAATTGTCTTCTTATTACTTTACATAAATGTAAGAAGCATGTTGCTAACCTGACAAGGTCTCTTCTTTTGAGACATGCTTCTCCTACGGTGAAAGTACATTTATACATAATGTAGTAATTAATAATTTACTTATCTTACATGTATAATATCTGGCATATGACATTTAATATGGACCAGGTTTTAAAAAAATAAACAACTTTTATTTCTCTCAAATAAAAATTAGAACAGTATATAAAATATATGTTCATTTTATTTTTTTGGCTTCAAAACGCACACACCACTTGAACTGTTTTTAAAGTAAAACCACAATAAAATATTTTTCATATGTGCTGAAGCATCAGTTCTACAAAATAAGAAATATTACTGATGGTTTCAACAATTATTTTTCGTTTCTTGAAGTTATCATTACAGTAAGTCTTGCAGTACTTACAGCATAGATTTTAACATGCATGGAAATAGTTACTTCTCCATTAACTTGACATAAAATCTGCATCATGTTGTTACACCATTTGAAATCTGATATGCTGGATGCAAAATAAACTCTACTGGCAGATCAACAACCAATTTTAAGGCTTGAAATTAAACACAGATTTAGTTTTAAATGCGCCTCTCTTCCTATATAGTGGTGTAACATATATACCCACAAATTAAATGAAAATAAAACAGTATCACTGCTACACTATCAGTAAAACATCTTCTGTGCAATGTATGTATAATGTCTTTATTATGATACTCTGCGCTCATGACTGAGAATTACAGAACTACAAAGAATATCTAGGGAAGCCTGTCTTCCTTTTGCTTTTATTTTTAAGGTGTTTAACAGACCACTTTTATAATACAATAATGCACAGATTAATCTAGTTAAAGCTTTTTATGTACGTATACAAAGGCAGCTGGTTTAGATGATGATAAGACTGTAAATTTCCTGTCTTGAGTCCAATCTCGCCTTTTGTGATGGGAGGAAGAAAAGAAAAAGATCTCCATGAGATGTTCCCTATAAAATTGTTCCATTACAGCAGGGCAGGGTTTGGAGCCTCCCTTTATATTCTTTCTACAATCGAAAAGGGCATTTCAGGAACGGTGAAAGCTACAGAGGTGTCATGCAAAGATGGTGAATTATCTTTTCATTCTTCAAAATATGCATCAAGATTTAATGTAAAAAGGAGTAGTAGCCCAGCTAGTTTAACTGCCTTCATAAGTCATTGTTTTCAATCATTTATTTTCGTGTATCACAAAATAACTAGCATTTGACTAACACATACGTTGAATCTGTCTGGGCCATGAATTCAGTCCTGATTTAAAGATGTCAGGAAATGGGAATTCTAAAGGCTAATCATCTTTACTGTTAAAATAATCAGCTTATGTGACTTCACCACTTTTTTTCCAGTACTTTTTGAAAATTTGGACACCAGAACAAGACTCACTGCTTCCAAAATCAGTCTTACCAGTGCTGTATAACAAGGTAACCTTACCTCCCTAAGTTTCCTCACTGGTCCCGATTTACTGAAAGAGCATTCATTGTCTTTGCCACAGAAGTAGTGCAACTGTTCAGTTGATTGCATGCTAACTTCTGAAGTTTTTAGAGTAACTGTTTCCAGAACACAGCCCCTCGACTCTACAGGCATTGAATTTTGTGTTTTGTGACTCTACAGTTCTGAATTTTGTGTTTCGTCCACTTAATGTTGCACCTGGGCTTCATGAAGCACATTTGATCTGAGCGGACACACCCTGCCAAGCAATTCTGACCTGCCTTTGAGAACCTGTCCTGCTATTCCACATACTTTGCCATTTCTGAATTTCAAG